TTGAGGAGGGGGTTGTGAAGAATAGGCAACCCACCTCTCCCAAAGACATGGACCATAAAACACCTCCCAATGGTATAGACCTTGACAAGGAATTTGAGGAAGAGGAAGTTAATGACTCGGATGTCATAATCATTAATGACATCCGTGAGAGTTATTATGATGACGTAGTGATCAAAGTGGACTTCATAGAGGGGCAGCCACCCAACCTACACACAGCTCATTGGAATGACTTGGGGCCGAATGCAAAGTTGGTTAGACTTGATAATTGCCTCGCCGTTACGGATGACTTAGACAAACCGGGGATAACCTTCACCAAAAAATGCCTTGAAAATCTGCCCGGGGTGATTATACATGATGACAGGTATGCCTTTGACTCGTTCTTTATGCGTAATATTCATCATCTTTTCCTTGGCAGGTACTTTAGTGACCATGTACTACAAGGCAACACTTGGAAAAAGAGGCCATGGAATGGTAAGAAGAAGAGGCAAGGAGAGGAAGGTGGTACCACCCCAATTGTTTGATGATAATTACAACTTGGAATGTTAGAGGCCTTAATAAGGTCTCAAAACAAACTACTATCTTTAATTTCCTTCGTGTTCATAATGTACATATGTGTTGTTTGCTTGAAACTAAGTTGACTTCTTCTAATTTTGAGAAATTTAGGATGATTAGATGCCCCCATTGGTCTTCCATTACTAATTTTGATGTTATTGATGGTGGCCGTATGGCCCTTGTGTGGAATTCTAATTTTATTGACATTGATGTGCTTGAAATTGGGAAACAACACATCCATTGTAAATGTTTATGTAAGACCACCCAACTGAATTTCTTGGTTACTTTTGTTTATGCCTTGTACACGGTGGGGGAAAGAAGAACCCTTTGGGAGCATATTACCGACTTGGGGTCAATCATTGTTAGTCCTTGGCTAGTAATGGGGGATTTCAATTGTGTGTGCTCCCCTAATGAAAGGATTGGTCCCACCCCACCCTCGGCATACCTAATGCAGGACCTTATTGACCTTAAGCTTAATGCAAACTTGGTGGACACCCCCTCTACCGGGGAGTTCTTTACTTGGTATAGGGGTTCACTTTGGGCAAAGTTGGATAGGTTTTTGATGAATTCGGCTTGGAGTGCTTATGGCATCACATGTAAGACTCATTTCCATTCCATGGAGGCTGAGTTTGACCATGTTGCCCCTTTGGTTACTTTCGGCCATAACCCATCCATGGGGTCAAAACCTTTCAAATTTTTCAATATGTGGCTTAAGCATGAATCTTTCCCCTCTATTCTTCATGACATTTGGTTTAAGTTTGTGATGGGTAATGCTCAATTTAGATTGGTTAAAAAACTTCAAGCTCTTAAGAAACCACTCAAGGAACTTAATAAGGTTGCATTTGGACATATTTCTTCTAAGGTAAAGGAATCGAAAATTGAGTTTAAGAGGGTGCATAACCTTCTCTTAACCTCTCCTCTCGATGATACCTTAAAGAATGATGTTCAACTTGCTAAGAAGAGAGTGCTCTTTCTTAAAAAGGCCGAGGATGCTTTCTTTAGGCAAAAAGCGAAGGCCACTCATTTGTTTCAAGGTGATAGGTGTACCAAATATTTCCATTCAATTGTGAAAAAGAGGGCTGCTAAGAACTCCATTACGGCTTTAAAACTACCTAATGGGGAGCTTACTACCTCTATAGACCAGGTTGCTAAGGAACTTGAAAGTTTTTATGTTAATCTGTTTGGAACTCCGGTAAGTTGTCCTCCAATTGACCCTAGCATTATTACATCCGGGACATGTCTAAGTAGGGACCAGTCCTTAGGGCTGCTCTCTCCCATCTTAGACATAGAGATTAAGAATGCCTTGTTTGACATTGGGGATGACAAGGCCCCGGGACCAGATGGATTTACTTCTGCCTTTTTCAAGGAAAAGTGGTCGGTGGTTGGGGATGATGTCATTGATGCTGTGAGAGGTTTCTTTGATTCTGGTAGGATTTTAAAGCAAATTAATCATACGATTATTGCTTTAATTCCTAAGACATCACACTCCCCCACGGCTGCTGATTTTAGACCTATTGCTTGCATAAATGTTATTTACAAGGTCATCACAAAGATTATTGCTAATAGAATGATTCCTTGTCTACCCGGTTTGGTTGACCATGCACAGGGGGCTTTTGTAAATGGTAGACTTATGATGGATAACATCTTTTTAGCGCAAGAACTGGTTAAGGGGTACACTAGGAAACATTGCTCACCTAGGTGTATGATTAAGGTGGACCTTAGGAAAGCCTATGATACCATCTCTTGGGATTTCCTTAGTAGTGTACTCCTTAACATTGGTTTTCCTTTGCAATTTGTTAAATGGATCATGGAGTGTGTTTCAACTGCTTCCTTCTCAATCTCCCTCAATGGGACACTACATGGTTTCTTCCGAGGTAAGAGGGGATTAAGGTAGGGGGATCCTATGTCCCCTCTCCTTTTTGTCCTTTGCTTGGAATACCTATCTAGATTAATGAACTTGAAAACCACCTCGGGTTTTAACTACCACCCTAAATGTGGTAGCCTTAAGATTTCACACCTTGCATATGCTGATGATCTCATGTTATTTTGTAGAGGGGATACTTATTCTGTTAAGATTTTGATAGATGCTCTAAATGAGTTTGGTAATGTCTCGGGATTAAGGGTCAATTTTGACAAGTCAAACATTTTTTTGGGGGGAGTTAGGGACCATGATCTCACAGCTATACTTGATTTGGTGGACTTCAAAGTGGGTGCTTTCCCGGTTAAATACCTTGGGATCCCCCTCTCCCCCCTAAAACTGGATGTGGCCGAATATGCCCCACTCCTGGAGAAGGTTACAAATTATTTGAACGCATGGAATACTAAAACCTTGTCCTATGCAGGTAGAACTGAGCTAATCAAATCTGTTATTCAGGGGGTACATTCCTTTTGGTTACAGGTGTTCCCTATACCACAGGCCATCCTAGACAGAGTGGTTTCACTTTGCCGTATTTTCTTTTGGGGGTGCAAATTTTCCAGGGTTGCTTGGGCTGATATGTGCCTTCCAAAAGAGGAGGGGGGCTTGGGCATTAGACATACCAAAACATGGAATAATGCTCTTCTTTCAAAGACCTTGTGGGACATTCATCTTAAGCGTGATACTTTGTGGGTAAAGTGGGTGCATGGGGTATACCTTAAGGGTAGAAGTGTGTGGGATTTCTCCCCACACACTAGGGACTCCCAACTTATGAAGAAGTTTGGGCAGATCCGAGACCTTTTGGTCTCTAAATTTGACTCTATTGGGAGCACAACTAATGCCCTTTCCAAGCTTGTTATTAATGGGAAGTTGTGCTCCTCTAAAATTTATGACCTCATTAGAATCAAGAGCAACACTCAGGATTGGATGCCTTTCATTTGGAAAGCCTATATACCCCCTAAATTTTCATTTATTGCTTGGCTTGCCTTCCGCAATCGCCTAGCAACTTATGATAACCTTAGTAGGCTTGAGGTGATTAACATCTGTCCGTTTTGTAAGGGTGAACCGGAGACGGTAGCACACCTATACTTTGGTTGCCAATTTACAGGACAGGTATGGAGCAAAGTGAGAGCATGGATTGGGATGCCTAGGCAGATGACCACCCTGGATAGCTCGGTGAAGTGGATCAAGAAGGACCATGCGGGTGCTGGAGTCAAAGCCAAAGCTGCCCGTATTGCATTTATCTACACCATATACTGGATATGGAGGGTGCGGAATGCAACCAGATTTGATGATGCCAAAGCTCATGAGGAGGAAGTTTTTGCTAGGATCCAATACATGGTGTATAAGATCCTTTTTAGTATCTACCCTCATGAACTTATTATGTTTTGAATTATAATGTGTAGTACGGCTCCTTGCCCCTTTTGTCTGATTTGGGATTGATAGTATAGCCCACAGGTCTTGGCATATCCCTCGTTGGGATAGCCCCATTTTTGCTCCCCCTTTTTTGTGGATGTACTTGTACATAAACTCTTTGGATAATATATAATTACCCTTTATCCAAAAAAAAAATTGAAACCAGCGCCTAATGGGTTTCACGCGTGTTGAGAGCGTCTCTCTCTGGAACCCTCGTTCCAGACTCACGCGGCAGGATGGAGGTCTCTGATTCTGGTTTTGAGCTGTTAGTTAGTTGCGATTTTCGTTCCTTGTTGCAGTTCATACTCCGGCGACGTGGGAAGAATATCGATTTAGAGCTTAAAAGCCCCAAATCGATCTATTTTCGCGCAAAGGAGTGTTCATTAGATTTTGAGAATGACTCCTTGTTCGGTGTTTCTTTTTCATTCTGCTAGTTGTGCGTAGATTTAACTGTGCGTAGCTCTGTAATTTCTAAGTTGAATTTTTGGGTGCATGCTATAACCTGGGAACGAAGGTTGATTTTTAATTTCAATCTTTGTTTTACTGTACTACCCGTACCTGGGATGACGAGAAGGAAACAGGGCTTTGTGGCGACTCCTTCGACAAGAACCACCAGGTCCTCTAGCTTTGCTGTGCTGGATTCCATGGAGGACGATTTTCCTGTTTTGACCTCCTTACTTGCTGTAAGGCCTGGAACGGCTAAACCAGTGAAGAAGCCTATTGATACACCTGCTTCAATTTCATCTAGTAAGGTGTCCGCTGCTGAAGAAACTGTCCTGCAGACTGAGACCTGTAAAGCTGGGCACTCTCCCTCAACTGCTGCAGGAGGGACTGCTGCTATATCAGCTGAACCTGCTGCTGGAGCTATGTTAACTGTTGAAATAGCTAAAGAACCTGCTGCTACTCCCTGTTCTGGTCACTCTAAAATTAACTCTGGACAGACTCCTGCTGCAAAATCTACTGCTGGATCTTGTGCTTTAACTGAGATCCCAGCTCCTAGGAATGTAGGGACTGATGGGAATAATAAGCTTGGGCAGAAAACAGATGTTGGACAGACCACCAAAGCCATAACTTTGTCGAAGAATCCTGAAACTAAACCTTGGAACTCACTATATAAAGACAATCGAGCTCCGTCCGAAGGGCTTAAACTGAGGTATATTCCACCAACTAGTGATATTCTTGATTTTTCAGACCGTGTGCTACCTTCAATGGTGGATATCTTTGGCTACTGTCTGGTGGGCTTTTTCACGGGAAGGTTTCCTGGTTTAAAGGCAACCTATAGCCTTACAAAAAAATGGGGAGTACATTGTGAAGTCAAACCACATGATAAGGGCTGGGTTGTTTTTAAATTCAAGAGTGAAGCTGATAGGACTAAGGTTATGATTGAGGGGCCTTATATTCTCTATGGGAAGCTACTGGTTCTGAAGGTTCTGTCTGATGATTTTTCCTTTGAAGATGATGAGTTCTTGAAGGTGCCGATTTGGATAAAATTCCCTAAGCTCCCTGTGAGGTTGTGGAATGAGGATACTATTAGCGAAGTTGCTTCTAAGGTTGGAGTTCCTCTCACCACGGATAGGATAACGCTTGAAAAGGCAAACCACAACTACGCGAGAGTATTAATTGAAGTGGACGTGACAAAGCCACCTCCCCTCTCATTCCCAATCAAGATGGCGTCAGGAAGGATTTTTGAGCAGCGGGTTCTCTATGAAACGTTTCCGAACTACTGTTTCCATTGCAAACAATACGGGCACCATCCCTTCATTTGCAAGGAACTAGAAGCAAAAGAAAAGGTTGAAATCGACGAACCAGAGAAGGCTGAGACTATAATAATAGCTACAACGAAGGCTACTGAGGCTACGAAGGCCATTGTTGGGACTGTGGACCCGGAAGGGGAATTTGTGGAAGTACGTAGGCGGGACGGAAAGAAGATTGCAAAACCGGTGATACCTCAAACCCAGGTTGCCGCTGCTGTAATTGTTGATGCGATTGAACCTACTGGAACTACGGTTTTAGAAACTATTGTTCTGGATGTCGCTGATACGCCAAGTATTACTACGGCTGGTGGAATTGGGAAAACTAAGGCTACTATGGAGGGGGGAAAACCGGCTGCTGGCCTACTGGAAATTGAAGAACAGGCTGCGGGCTTACTGGCAGAACCTCCTGCGGCTGAAGTGCAGGGACTGCAGCCACCCATTGCTTTGAAAGCGGCTGCTCAAATGGAGGTACTGCCCCCACAGCAAAGGACGGATAAGGAGGATACAATTCCTGAACAATCTGGTACTAAACCTTGGGAACCATTCATAGTTGAGGATGTTGAAATAACTTGTAGAAATGGGAAGAAAAGTACTATTCGATTTATGAGACCCAACAAATGAGCTGGGGTAGTTCATTGTTTCTGGCCTGACTGAGTTCACTGTATTGGTGCTCAGACTTTGTTTTTCTTTTGAGGTTTCTGTCTTTGTGGCTGGACTAACGGAGATTTTGTGAAGATTTATATTTAGGTTAGATTAGTCTAACTTAGATAGTTATCTTGATCAGAACTTGACACATTGTAAAATGTTATTTTTGGGTGTTTTATATATACTTACATTCCATCCAAAAAAAAATTGAAACCAGCGCCTAAGAAGAAAGTTTTTTGCGTCGAGAGAGTCTCTCTCTAAGCGTTTCACGCTTATTCGCAAAACTCCTTCTTCTTCACCGGTTTCAAGCTTTCTTCCTCCATTTTCTCCTTCTTTGATCTTGGATATTAGTTACTCTACACTTCCTCAGTCTTAGGTGTGTAGATTCTCTAATTTTCGAGCTCCTTTTTGGAGGTCTGGAGTGTTTTTCCGACCTTCTTCGTTTCGGTGTTACTATTCACGAGAAAAAGGTCAACGCCTCTCCAGCCTTCATCTCTTGGTGGATTCTTGATTCAAGCATAGATTCTGGTTCCCCTTAGCTTGGGGATTAACTTTCTCAAATTTTTTCCATCATCGGACCTCTCCTTGGGTTGGCCGTACTCTTCTTCTCCAACGGCTCTTTTGGGTGAACAGTTCGGTTTACTCAATTGTTGTACCGAAGCTTTATGTAAGTTTGGGAGGTGCTTCCTTTCTCCCCCTCTCGGTCATTATGCCTAAGGGGAAGACTAAAAAGAAGGCTTCCAAACCTCCTACCAAATCCTCCACTCGGCTTAGAGCTAAGGCGCAAGCAAAGGAGGTGGATGAGCTTCTCTCGGATGATGTTCAAAGTGAACAAAATTCGTCTCTCCAAGAAAATGCAACTTATGAGCCGAGCAAGGATCATTCTTCCTCCTCGGCTACCATTGAGGTAGAGGTAAGTTCTCTCCTTCTTAGCTCCAATGATCCTAATATTGTTAATGTGTGTGAGATTGAGGAACTTCTTGTTGGTTCCAAAGATAGTGATGCTTCTATTGTGCCCGAAAATGTGTGTGATGTTAATTCGGCTACTAAAACTTGTGTTGATGCTTCCGCTTTGAGCAAGGGTGATAAAACTGGCTGTGTTACCCCTATTTCTATGAATGTTGCTATTGATAATGATGGAGATGCCTCTGTTTTAGGGGTCAATGTCCCACCCTTGGACATTGAACCCTCGGTTCCTTTGAAAAGCATTGAAAAAATGAATGTTACTCCTAACATTTCTCACAATTCTTTGGCTTTTGGTTTGGCCAACAAATCTGCCCCCCCTACGGCTTTAGCTAATACTATGGATACCGACATTGCCTTGGCCTCTACCTCTAATGCCGTGGCATTACAAGGTGAAAAAGGCAAGGGTGTGGTTAATGCTAATACTTCCAAGCCCCTACCTTGGGCATCTTTGTTCAAAGACAATAGGGAACCCGATAAGGGTATGAAACTTAAGTTCATTGAACCGGTGGGAGAATTTGTTGATCTTTCTAATAGAAAGATGTTTTCTATGGTCCAAATATGGGGCTTTTGCCTTGTGGCCTATTTTGATGGGAAATTTCCCGGTTTCAAGGCTATACATGACATGATGAACAAATGGAAAGTACCTTGCCAAGTTAGATCCCATGACAAAGGTTGGGTCATTTTTAAATTTCAAAATGAGGAGGATAGGACTAAAGTCCTCTCGGATGGACCCTATACTATCCTTGGGAAGAATTTTCCTTTGAAACCCCTCTCGGATAATTTCACTATGACTAGTGATGAATTCCTCAAACTCCCTATTTGGGTGCAATTTCCCCATCTTCCTTTAAGGCTTTGGGAAGAAGATATCATTAGTGAGATTGCTTCCCGTGTGGGGGTCCCTTTGGCTATGGATAGGGTAACCCAAGAAAGGGTGAGGTCCCAATTTGCCCGGGTCTTAATTGAGATTGATGCCTCAAAGCCCCCTCCTCTTGAACTTAAAATCAAGCTGCCAAATGGGAACTTTCATACCCAACATGTGAGGTACGAAACATATCCTAACTTTTGCTTTCATTGCAAAACTTTTGGCCATCATGCCTTCACTTGTAAGGTCTTGGCCGAAAGGGAAAGGAAAGAAAAGGAGGATAAAGAGGCTACCAAGGCTGTTAACGACAAGCCTACTAATGATAACACCTTTGACAATGTTCCTAAAAGAAAGGGGAAAGAGCATGTGACAATGGAACCTCAAAATACCGAGGTTCATAACCATAAGAAAGGGGACCACCCTTTCTTTAGAGTTACTAGATGTAGGCGTGGGCCTAATAAGTTCATTGTTGAGGATGAGGATGAGGAAAAAGGAGACCCACCTCCCCAAGAGGTGGATACTACTATTGACAAAACTGTCCGTATAGTTAAAACATCACTCCTTGACACCTTTGAGGATGAGGTGGTGTTTGACTTGGATCCCGTGGACCCCCTCCACCCTATTATAAAGTTGAAACACCAAGATGAGGTGGATGTCCCCATTATTAAGCTTGATCATAACCTTAGAATTGTGGGGGAAAAGACCTCCGGTGTGCAATTTACCAAATCTTGTTTGGAGGGCCTCCCCGGGGTCAAACCAAACAAACATGGTTATGTGTATTCACCCAAATTCCTAAAAGGAGTTTATAGACATTGCTTAAACCGCCATTTTGAGGATGGTACCCTTCAAGGGAATGCTTGTAAGGTCAAGGACCTTAGAAATGTTCCTAAGGATTCTATTCGTATTGTTCATGATATTCAAGAGGCTTTTCTTGATGATGTGGTGGTCAAGGTTGATCTAAACATTGACAATAAGCCTTGGATACACCTTAAACATATTGAAGATGTCAAGGAAAACTTTACTAGACTTGATGACTATTTGGAAACTACTAAGAACCATTTGACAAAAGGCATCAATTTTACTATTGAATGTTTGGAGTCTCTACCCGGATTATACCCCACGGAAGAGGGATATGAAGTATCTCCTCTATTTATGGAAAAGGCTTACTTCCTTTTCTTGGATAGGTATCAACCGAGGGGTAACATTAAACAAAAGCCGAGGCCTTTTATAACAAGGAGGTTTGTTGGGAGGAAGACCCCTAAACATTTTTAATGTTAGTGTCCTCTTGGAACATTAGAGGTCTTAATAAGACCTCAAAACAAAATTCTATTTGTTCTTTCATAAGGAATAATAAGATACATGTGTGCTGCCTCCTTGAAACAAAGATGTCCACCTCCAACTTTGATAAGTTTATGTCTAATAGATGGCCTAATTGGCTGTTTAAGACTAACTTTGATTTGATTGAGCGGGGCAGAATGGCCCTCCTTTGGGACCCTACTTTTGTGGATTTGAATGTCTTGGAAGTGGATTGCCAACACATCCATTGTGAGGTGCTTTGTAAAGTCACCAAAAATGTTTTCTTGGTGACTTTTATATATGCTCTCTATACGGTTGTGGAAAGAAGGACTCTTTGGGAGCATATTGCTAGCCTTGAACCCCATATTAGCCACCCTTGGCTTGTTATGGGGGATTTCAATTGTGTTGGTAGCCCTAATGAGAGGGTTGGACCTACTCCTCCCTCGGCCTACTATATTCAACACCTTAATGATTTCAAGGTCCAAGCTAACCTTGTGGATACCCCTTCAACCGGGGAATTCCTCACTTGGAATAGGGGGTCCCTTTGGGCCAAACTTGATAGAGTCCTCATGAACTCTTTATGGTCTACCAATAACATTACGTGTAAGACACATTTCTTTGAGATGGAGGTAGAGTTTGACCATTGCGCCTCTCTTGTTACTATCGGCCATAATATGCCTAAGGGGTCTAAGCCCTTCAAGTTCTTTAACATGTGGCTCAAACATGAGGCCTTCAATGTCATTCTCACCACGCATTGGTTCCAAGAGTTATATGGCACCCCTCAATTTAGGCTTGTACGCAAGCTTAAGAGACTTAAAAGGCCTTTGAAAGAACTCAACTTCAATGCTTTTGGCCACATCTCTTTTAAGGCTAGCGAGGCTAAAAAAGAATATAAGAGACTCCATTCTCTTTCTCTTCTTTCTCCTCTTGATGATGATATCAAGCATGAGGTTAACCTTGCTAAGAAAAATGCTCTTTACCTCAAGAGTGCCGAGGAGGATTTTTTTAGACAAAAAGCAAAAGCTAATCACCTTTTGCTTAGCGACCGGGGATCCAAATATTTTCATTCTATTGTTAAGAAAAACGTGGCTAAAAACTCCATCACCTCCATCAAACTTGAGGATGGGAGGTATACCACCTCTCTTGACCAGGTGGCTGGTGAATTTGTGAGATTCTACACTGATCTCTTTGGCACTTACTGTCCTACTTTGGACATTGACCCTACCATCATTCTTTCGGGTAAGTGTCTTGATAATAATAAGGCCATTGATCTTGTTAATCCTATCTCTGATTTGGAGATTAAGAATGCCATTTTCGATATTGGTGATGACAAATCTCCGGGTCCTGATGGGTATACTTCTGCTTTTTTCAAACAAAATTGGAATATTGTTGGTCATGATGTGATTTTGGCTATTAAAGGCTTTTTCAACTCTGGTAAGCTCCTGAAGCAGCTTAACCATACTGTGATTGCCCTAATTCCCAAAACCTCCCATGATCCTACTGCGGTTGATTTCAGGCCTATCTCTTGCACTAATGTCATTTATAAGACTATCACCAAGATCATTGCTAATAGACTGATCCCTTGTTTACCCGATTTGATTGATCCCTCCCAAGGGGCTTTTATTGATGGGAGGCTTATGCTTGACAATGTTTTTCTTGCACAAGAGCTTATCAAAGGCTATACTAGAAAGCGTATGTCTCCTAGATCTATGATTAAGGTGGATCTTAGGAAGGCTTATGACACCATCTCCTGGGACTTTCTTTACAATGTTCTTTTGACTATTGGTTTCCCAATCCAATTTGTCAATTAGATTATGGAATGTGTGACTACTCCCTCTTTCTCCATTTCAATTAATGGGGTCCTCCATGGCCACATTAAGGGCAAAAGGGGGCTTAGGCAAGGGGACCCTATGTCTCCTCTCCTTTTTGTGATCTGTCTTGAATACTTTTCTAGACTGCTTAATCACAGGACTAAAGTGCCCCCGTTTAAGTTCCACCCAAAATGTGGGAAACTTAACATCTCCCATGTTGCTTATGCTGATGATCTCATGTTATTTTCTAGGGGGGATTATACCTCTATTA